CCCCCACCCCCACCCCCCATCCCTATCCCGCCACCCCCCATCCCCCACCGCCACCCCCCATCCCTATCCCCCACCCTGACTCTCACCTTGAGATCCTCGGCCGTGGGTCCTCCGGCCCCCGTCCCAGCCCCCATGACCCCTCCCGCCCCCCCCGGCCCCATCAGAGCCGCCAGGTTCAGCTGCGCCAACATGTCGGTGGTGAAGCCCCCGGACTGGATGGCCAGGTAATCCAGCTGCCGCTTCTGATCCGACTTGCGGAGGATGTTCTCCTCGATGGTGTTCTCCGAAACCAGCCGATAAATGTGCACCTGTGCGTCAGCAGGAGAGCGGGGGAGAGAGGGAGGGGAAAGGGGGCGGAATGTAAGCGGGATGGGGGTTGGCCGAGGAAAAGAAGGGGATAGAGGAGGAGGAGGAGGAGGAAGCAGAGCGGGAGGAGATGGCGGAGGTGGGGAAAGACGAACCACAACACAAACGAGTGAAGCTGCTGCCAGGGCAAAAGAGTGTACCAGACGTAGAACTCGGGAGCGGGAGGAGATGGAGGAGGTGGGGGGGCGGCGGAAGGGGCAGTCGTAGGAGATGGATTGACATGGAAGGCAAGAAAACCAACGAGGAAGGTGGCACGTCGGCGTGCGTGTTTGTTTGGGTTTGCATACACAAGGTACACGCACACATCAGCACAAACATACCTTAGACGCATATGCCAATATGCATACACACACACTCTTATCACACGCATACCTCCCGCGTTTGGCCGATGCGGTGGCAGCGGTCCTGAGCCTGGGCGTCCATGGCCGGGTTCCAGTCGCTGTCGTAGAAGATGACGGTGTCGGCGCCCGTCAGGTTGATACCCACACCGCCGGAACGGGTCGAGAGGATGAACACGAAGATCTAAAAAGGGCGGGAGGAAAGGGCGGAAAGACGAAAACCGCGAACGAGTGAAGCTGCTGCCAGGGAAAGAGTGCACCAGAAGTAGAACTGACCAAAAGGCGTTCTTGGGTCGAGGTGGGGAGGAGGAGGGGGAGGAGGGGGGGAAAGCGGGGTTGGAGGTGCGCATGCAAAAAGGTTTTACTAATCGAAACTGTCGAAGTGGAGAGCAGCTGAAGGAGGAGGAAGAGGAGGGGAGGAGGCGAAGGCGACAGTGAATAGAGCAGCAGCAGTCTTGAAATTTCTACACACACACGATCAACATACCTACACTTAACACGCACACACACGCACACACACGTACACGTAACTTTTAACTAGATATACAGTTGCTGTGGTTTGACGGGTTGTGCAGGCGGTGGTGCTCTCCCTCCTAAAGGACTTCCCCAACCCCACCCCAACCCCATACACATACGCAACCCCCCCCCATCCCCCCCCCCCCACACACACATACGCAACCCCCACGCCCCACCCCACAACCCCCACCCCACACACACCTTGGGGTCCGTGTTGAACCGCTGCATGAGCACCTGGCGCTGCTCTGGCCGTGTGGAGCCGTCCAGTCGCATGTATGTATGTCCATGCAGGTTCAGAAACTCCTCCAGCACGTCCAGCATCTTGGCCATCTGAGTGAAGATCAGGGCGCGGTGGCCGCCCGCCTTGAGCCGCCGGAGGAGCAACGCAAGCTCCTGAAACCAGACCGAGGAGGTGGCAGCAACGGGGCTGAAAGGCGTTGATGGAGGGCCGGAGCGGGGCGGCGAGGGGCCATGCAAAGCCCCAAAACAAAGAATAAAATCTAAACGGGGCATGGTATGCGTCCCAATACACAAACACAGACACACACATACGGCCCTGGCGGTAGCGGTTGCCCCCACCTTCGTCGGTCTTTCCCTCGTCCCAACCGCCCAAGTCCACCTCTACAAAATCCCATCCGACAGGAACACACAATGCTAAAACGCGGCAGGGCAGTATTTCAACCAACACCCCAAAGTCGCACCTGCAGCTTCCCGCAGTCGTACTGAATGAGCCGCTTGTCCGGAAAGAACAGCTGCTGTCGTACATAAGAAAGCCGAAGCGGCCCCGCACGGGCACACCACTCCGCCAGCGCCACCGACGCCCGCCGAGCCGCCGCACGCACCTCATCGCCGTCAGGTCTGCAGCACCACACCTCGGGTGCCGGCGCACGTGCGCGTGGGATCACGAACTTGAAGTCCCGCAAGTACGGCTCCGCCCACTCTGCCCGCTGCTCATACGTCACTGCCAGTTCCGACAGCAGCGACGGCTGGAGACGGTACGAGGATGGGGCTGGTGGCGGCGGCGGCGCCGCCGCCGCCGCGTCAGCGGCGGCGGCGGCGACCGAATGGTCGGTGACGCGCGCTGCACCGGGACGTAACGCAGTACAGGAAGGATGTGCAATACCCTCGAGCAGGGCCAGCAAATTGCGGCCGTACAGGGGTCGGCGGCTGGCGCAGCGCAGCGAGCTCAGGGCGGCTGCGATGCGAAGGCGGGAGGTGCGCCAGGCAGACTGCCGCCGCTGATGCGCCGCCACGGCCTCCGCCAGAACCTGGTAGGCGGGGTCGGCCATGAGGGACCTGCAAACACAGGCGCGTGTCGTACCATGTCGTACTGTGTGACCCCGGTATCGGAATTAGGGGAAGGGCTCGTGATGATGATGCCGTGTGTGATGGCTGGAGTCAAAGCGGGGCCGCGTTCACGTCCCATTCCGCTGCACGAACCCAAAAAACAAACGCATCTGCACACACACATACACACATCGCACATACACGCACAAACACACACCTATACGAGCCGTGCAGCGCCACAAGCGCATGCTGCCCCAACGCCATCGGCGACCCCGTCGCCGCCGCGGCGGAGCCGCCGCCGCCGCCGTGCCGGCCCGAGCCCGATGCCAATCCTCCGTCACCACCAGCAGCGGCGCTGCGCGCCGCCGCAGCGCTCCGCATCAGCACTGACGCGTCGTCAGGAATGGCGGGCCATTCGGGCACGCCACACTCCCGGGCCATGCTTTCGTACGGCACCTGCACAGTATGCCGTACGGCACGAGCACACGCATCGATGAATCAAAGTCGGCGGCATGAGGTCTCAGCTGGGGACGGGAAGCAGCAGTCGCGGTGTCTGCTCGGAGGACACTGCTCGGGCACAGCAGTGTCGGCGGGATAGGTGAAGAGCGGGAAAGGTAAGGCTAAGGCGAAGTGTCTCGGTCGCTGCCGCCGCCACCAGCGGGTCCAGGTTTTTGCTGTTCTACATATCATGTCGGCTGGAGGGCGACCTCCCCGCCACAGGGACAAGAGGAAATACTCACACAGTGTGACCTGCCTTCGCGCACTTTTCACCCCACCGCCCTCCAACATCATCCCCCCCTCCATCCGAAGCCTAGAGTACGCCGTCTCATCACCCCGTTTTCATTCCTTTTACGTTTTGAATATTTATCACAATATTATTTTTATGTTATAGCTATGGTTAATGGTAAGCTCTTCCCGAACCCTGTATAACAACCCCACCATCAGCCTCGTCACATCCTCCGCCTCGTACGTCGCCATCCCCTCCCACGCCGTCAGCAGCAGCCCCGAACCCGCCAGCAAGTCGTACACGCGGCTCGCGACACCGGCGGAGCCACATTCGCCAAAGTGACCCGCGGGTCGAAACGCCGGATGTCGTCGCTCCAGGGGCCCCTCGAACTCTAGACTGGGCGCCGGAGCAGGGCCCGTGGCGGTCAGGGCCGCGCCTCCCGCCTTGGGCCGCAGCGGCGGCGGGGAGATGTAGACGGGGTTGAGGACGCAGGATGGGACTTGGATACTGAGGCCGGGAACCAGGTCATAGGAGGAGACGATGGGCCGGCCCTCGAACAGGTCGGGGTGGTTGCAGACCTGAGTTGGGGTGATGGGGACATGGGGAGATGGTAAGAGGGGAAATGTGGAGAGGCCAAGGGGAAGAAATAACACACATCACAGGAGAAGGAGAAGGAGAAGATGGAGAAGAAGAAGGAGAAGGAGAAGGAGAAGATGGAGAAGAAGAAGGAGAAGAAGAAGGAGAAGAAAACAATTTGGGGAAGGGGCCTAGCGCAGAGAGAGCGCGAATCTGAGACCTCTGAGAGTAAAGCACAGAGCGGAAAGCGAGGACAAAGCGGCGGCCAGGGCAGGTCAGCAACCTCATGGCACGAGGTGTTTTATTTTACCCGCCGCTGCGCGCCATACACAGCACAACCCACCGTCGCGGCCCCGCCGCCCACACATGCACATACACACTTCTTCCCACCTCAAATTCCCCACCTTGCGCAACGACATAAGGCAGTTGAGCATTCCCAGGAAGCCGCCCGTCTCCAGCCGCTTCTTGGTTTCGGAAGAGGCCATGTACTCCTCGTACAGCTTGCGCTGCCGTTTGCTAAGCCGGCACTTGACCACGTGTTCGTGCTTGGCGGGCATCTGCCGCTCCACCTCCGACTGAGGGTCGAACCGAGTGGGTAACGACGAGTGAGAGAGAGAGAGAGGAATCGTACGATGCAAGCAAGATGCGGAAGAAAGAAGAAATAGCACCGATTTTCTATAACCATGTTATGCACCCGGGAGGAATCGGGAGAACATAGCCACACCCGGAAGGGCTACATACAGCCCTTTGGAGTGGTCTCGGATTAATGCGCAACGAAGGGGAGGAAGGGAGGGGGCAGGGCCCCAGCCGGCCGGGCAGCGTACACCACGGCACGTACTAACGTTACCCTACGTTGATGCGATGTGTGGTGCCGCGTGTGTTTCGACTTCCGTGGGCCTGGCACGGGAGTCTCCTGGCCCTCCCTTTCGGGTCCGGGTCCAGCTTCCTCCCTCCCCACCTCGTAACAAGTTTGGACAGCATTTGGCCCTCAGCCGGGGGGCGCCTCAGGGCGCGTATGGGCTCCGTTTTACACCTTTTTGTGAGTGGCGGATAACGCAACTCCAGGCGGTGTAAAACACACACACACACACACACACCCCAGGGTCCCCGTACCCTCCCCTGGAGCTTCCTAGCTCGCCCCTGGGCTTTTTCATACACGCTTCCCTCTGTACCTTTAGGCGCCGCAGCAGGAAGGGCCGCAGCACACCGTGCAGCCGCTCCACCAGTTGCTGTAAACGGAGTGCGCGCGTGGGGGAAAGAGCCGGGGCCCCCGGGGTTGGGCGGGTGGGTGGATAGGGCCGCGTTAGGAAGGAGGGGTGGGTGGGAAGCAGGTCCATACACAGGGAGGGATAGAGGGGACAGGGATAGGGACAACAGGCATATGGACTTGGGAGTCAAACGATGCCCACACAGGAAGGCAGGACGAAAGGCAAAACACATGGGTTTAACTGGAAAGACTGACTGACAGCAGTGAACCTAAGGGGGCTCGGCCCCCCAAATGGCGCTTCGTGCCCGGGGCCTCGCCCAAAAAGGAAAAGAAAAGAAAAGGCGGACGTCAAAGTCAAAGAAGCAACGCTTATTAAACTGTTAGCATTAATGAGAAACCCATGAGTCACACAAAGAGGGATGGCGGCGGGACGTACATGCAAACGTAAAGGAAACAGAGGGAGGTTGGTAAGCAGCGATGGAAGGCGGGGTGGGCACCTAACCCCCACCCAAGGGGCCAGGGTTTGGCTTCTTAAACCCTCCACGCCCCGCACCCGCCCACACATACCCCCCCACCCCCCACAACGCTATATTTGTGTGGTACGTGTGTGTGAATATTTATTTACCTTGTTGTACGCCTCGCTGCCCTCCACCATGCCGGTAAGCGGGTTGCAAAACCAGTCCCGGAACTGCGCATGGCTGGCGAAGAGGCCGGGCATCAGGAAGTGCATCAGACTCCACAACTCCATTAGATCGTTCTGGAGGGGGGTGCCTGCGGGGAATGGGGGGGAGAGGGGGGAAACAGGGGGTGAGGGAGAGGGGGGGGGGGAAAAGGGGCACGAGTAGCCTTTAGCCTCGAATATGCATCGTACTGGTGACGACAAAGGCGATGCTCATGATTATATGATCGTGACGGTGATTGAGGTTTAAATGAGGTTTAAATGCGCATTGAGGTTTAAATGTGCTCGCCGAGCTGATCCCCACGACACCCTAAACCGTCGCCCACTGTCCCGCACCCACCCGTAATAAGCAGGCGGCGCTTGGCGTTGAAGCGAAGCAGCGTCTGCCACCGCTGGCTCTTCCAGTTCTTTATCATGTGCGCCTCATCAAGGATCAGGTACTTCCACTTCTTCCGGCGAAACATCTTGGCGTCCTGCAAAGCCATGCACGCCGTGTATGTACGTACGTATGTGCACGTGTCTGTATGTACGTGTGTGTCTTAATGTGATGTGTGTGCGTGTGATTTCAAGGACCGCGCCTCGAGTAAGACGCGGTGTGTGTATTTCATGCCGAACTGAGAAAACAACATATGATAGAATGATAGAATGAGGTAGAATGAGGCGAAAGCAAAAAGGTAAAAGGAAAGGCGAGACGAGGTTCGTTCGTTCCGCTCCGCACCGCTCCTCTTTTAATCAGACGTCAAGACGTACCTCCGACCACCAACCATTCGAGGGACCTTCCGACCCCGACCCACATGCCCCATCGGGCCCCCTCGTCCTCACGGCCCCCCTTTCCCAACGCCCCCACAGACCCACCGACAACACGAGCGTGTATGAGGTGATGCAGATGTGAAACGCGTTGGGCTTGGACCAGCCCTGCCGTTTAGCCTTGCGCTCCTTAGCGCTGCCGTAGTAGGTCAGCAGTCGGAAGGCGGGACACCACTTCTTGATCTCCATCTCCCAGTTGAGCATCACCGAAGTAGGAACCACAATCAGGT